ATAAGTCATTTAATTCAGTGTCAGGTATGATTTCAACAAAGAAAGTTAGTACAATTGTCCCTCAGCGATCAAATTAATGAGTAGGTCAGCATGTTTATTATTGACTGACTTGATTAACGAGGAAATTCTGCAAGTAAGTATATAAGTAAGTTGAGCATATATATATATTAGTTTTGGAGTATCTATTGAAAAGTTTGTTTGTAAAGTTAAGCCTACTAGTGAACGAAGCCCGTAGCAAAATAAAAAATAATACTATGATTACGTGGACTGGACTATGCATTATTTTTACTCAAAAAAGTGTAAAATACCACCCCCAACGATAGAACACATCATAACAACATGTAGATCCCTGTCGATAACACCCCTGAATGTTCTTAAAATAGTCATTCCCTTTATGCAATGTTCAGAAAGAGAGGGGAAAAAAATTCGACATGGAATGCATTTAAGTACTAGTTAATTCTTGATTTTTATTCAAAATATTAAGTTTACTTCAGATTGTTTGTTTGTTTTGAATTTCGCGCAAAGCTACACGAGGGCTATCTGCGCTAGCCGTCCCTAATTTAGCAGTGTAAGACTAGAGGGAAGGCTGCTAGTCATTACCACCCACCGCTAACTCTTGGGCTACTCTTTTACCAACGAATAGTGGGATTGACAGTTACATTATAACGCCCCCACGGCTGAAAGGGCGAGCATGTTTGATGGAACGCAACCCTCAGATTGCGAGTCGAGCGCCCTAACTACCTGGCCATGCCGGGCGCTTACTTCAGAAGAAATAACTAAAATATTGACTATAGGACGAACACTAACATTTTATGGAAAGCTCAAATCAAAATAAAATGGGAATCTATCCCAAAAATAATTAATAACCGATTCAGTTAATACCTATTCTGGGATTCTGCTCCATCCTTTTTATGAAATGGTGTCGGCCCCAAGATCAAGATTAATTTCAATAATTTACTTTTTGTGTGTTTTAAGTTACATTTTTAATATTTTAATGTTTTGTTCACTAGAGGGAACATTTTAACATAATCTAGTGATTTTGTGAAGTTTAAAATTTGTGTGAAAATTTACGCGTCTGTAGAATCTCAAAGTTTTCTGTATTATGCCCTAGTGGTTAGCGTGCTCGGACTGTAAATTCAATGGCTTCTGGTTCGCTTCCCGTTGCTTCAAAATCCTTGCTCTGAACTTTGGATCCGTGGTTTCACTATAAGGGAGAGAAATTGTATGTGTAGCGAATGTATAACTATGTGTGAAGATAAGTAAGTATTGTGCACAATAAGTAAATTTTTCGTCTGTGATTATTTTGATTTACTTTTGAATGCTGGTTCTAGATGACGATTACTTGTCAAATACAGAGACTCCTAGTGTTCAGGTATAGCTATTTCTAATTTTGAACTACTGACCAGAAGGAATACAAACAAACAGCATCACCTGCCACAAGGATGTTTTTGACGAAAACCCTGAGCGTGTTCAGCGGCATCCAGTCTCAAACACCGAATCCTTCAATCTGTATTCCGACATCATTAGACCATGGCTGGTTTTTGTCAAAGTCGAGAAAGACCAGGCTTTAATTGCCCAATCTATGAAACCCAAAAAGTTTCAAATTCTTTCCCGTAGTTTCAATTAGGCTGTATCAGACAAGCCACTTGAAACTTTCAAGCCATACATGATACAATATTATCATGCACTACTCAACTTTATCATTATATTTCAAATTCAATAATATCTATGAAACATTTATAAAAGTGAGATATAAATATTGCTATGAAAGTCGTATGGCATAAAGTAAAGTTTTGACTCGTTGCACATGCTCAATATCTTTTGCAATAACTGTAGGAAAATGTCATAAAACTAAAAGAATTTACTTTTACCACCGTTCTTTTTATGAACATCCATATAACTTTTTTTTGAGAACGAATAAATGCTAAAATTTTATTTTTTTAAAGAGTCAAAACAACATAGGGCTATCTACTGTGTCCACTGCAAGGAATTGAACCCCGGATTTTAGTGTTGGAAGTCCTTAGAATTACCGCTGTCCCACCAAGGGTCTGAAAGTGAAGTAGTACTCACGAATTGAAGTTGTTTTCAGTAATATTAACACTAACGTACAAATAACAAGTTCCAATATTAAACGAAAAACACCTTGTCAGTGACATGTAGTAGAAAATAGATTTAAAATGCTATTTTTATATGCCTTTGATTTAAAATCCCTAATGGACTAATTAAATAGAATGTTGAAAAATCACGTGCTTTTGTGTTGTGTGTTGTAAAGCACAAAGTTACATAATGGGCTATCTGCCCACTGTGTGTATCGAAACCTGATATTTAGCGTTTTAAGCCCAGATACTTACCGCTGAACCATCGTAGAGCAAATTGCATGCAATCTGCTGTAATTTTAATCACTAATTATATATTTACATGTTTCATTCCTCGCTGGATTTCAACATTAAGTACACGATTAATGTTTTTCTTGACAAAGCCCTTGTTGTTTAATTATGTGATATTATGCCTTGGATTAACTCTTACTGTAGGATTTTTTTCTTTAAATACAAGAATAATGACAAATGTATTTTTATTTATTTTCTATTTTCATACAGTCATCATAAAGATGTGATATAAAATAGGTTAGCAACAACAAATGGTTTGTTTGTTTATTTTGAATTTCGCGCAAAGCTACACGAGCTACACGTCCCTAATTTAGCAGTGTAAGACTAGAGGGAAGGCAGCTAGTCATCACCACCCACCGCCAACTCTTCGGCTACTCTTTTACCAACGAATAGTGGGATTGACCGTCACATTATAACGCCCCCACGGCTGAAAGGGCGAGCATGTTTGGTGGGACGGGGATTCGAACCCGCGACCCTCAGATTGCGAGTCGAGCGCCCTTACCACCTTGCCATGCCGGGCCAACAACAAATGGAATAACTCGTACAAGTCAGTGCTATTTTTCACTTGTTGAAATGAGGGCGGAGATTTTTGTAAATACTGTTTACGATCGTCGCAGTGTTTTTATGCCAACAATTTCATAGTTGTTTTCAAGACTGTTTTATTTCATAAGCGATATTAGTGCTTCCAAATGAAATTGTGGGTAATAATTCGTTTTCTTATCTGCACAGAAACTACAGAAAAAAATCCAGACAGCTTTACAATTTATGTGGAGAATATACATTTAACTTGAAGCTCGTGACTCCCATGAAAATATATTAATATTTGCATGCACGGATATCTCAACATTATTCATAGTAACTTTGGTAGAATTGTGTGCTTTTTATAAAGACCAATGGTCACTTCCACAACTACAACATATAATCACTAAAAATTACTCCAACTTTAACTGTAAACTACAAATTAAACCCTATTTTTGGTATCCCACATGACTCATAAAATAATCCTTCCCTTGTGTGCTTCTAAATATACTACATAGACAATAACCCAAAACACTCATAAAGTGACATCCAGCGTGTTCCGCGATTACTATACAGATAATAACCCACAACACTCATGAAGTGACACCTAACATGTTCCAATATTACTATACAGACAATAACCTACAACACTCATGATATGACACCTAACGTGTTCCGAGAGTACTATATAGACAACATCCTACAACACTTATGAAGTGACACCTAATGTGCTCCCAGAGTACAATAACCCACAAAACGCATGAAGTGACATCTAGTATGTACCGAGGATAATGTATAGACAGTAATCCACGTCACTGACGCGTCGTGTTCCAAGGAACATTGTAGAGAAAATACTAAGCAGGAAATAACTTACATGACTCACGAAGTAACATCAAATATACTCTGAAGGGTCATGTATAAAAATAACCTAAATGAGACATGAAGTGATAATCAGTGTACATGTTTGTTTTAAACGATAACGTAAATCAGGATCCAAGTGCTTTTAATAGTTCTTGTGAAATTTTACTGAAGAAATAAAATTATTTATATTTAGCTTTATTCATTCTGAACCTAAATAATCTATATATTTATTTTATGAATAAACATTTTGGCGTTTATCGCAAATCCTATTTTAACTATCAAGATGACTAGCAAAATAGGTTTACTCCGTAGATATATTTAATCTAAACAACAGTTACCTATGCGTTTTATACTTATCATGCTCATGAATAACAACAATGACATTGAATTCGGGTCAATAATTACTAACTGTATGAGCGTTTATTAGTCATAGTAAAATCAAGCATGAAAACTAGTGCACATTCAACCTTCGACCTGACCTTGGAATTTGCCCATACATTTCTTTTTCTTTTTTTTTCTTACAAGGAACAGACAACGCAAGGCACCCGTTGAACCCTTAAACTACCGTTGGGTTTGGCTCCTACAGGGACCAGAACAACAGTTGCTTTGTCCTCGCTGCTTTGATACGTTTCCGATTCATTACCCACAGCCAGACATATTGAGTCAGTACGAAAAAATGGAGCTTTGGGTGTCACCAAGATACCTTTGTACTCAAGCTTCCAGTCTTGTGGACATTCCTTCATGGCAGGAAAGGTGTAAGCTTGGAGAGTCTGCTGCTTATAACAAACTGCGCACGTCAGTGTATATTGATGTTCATCCTGCAACTGATAGGATAACCTTGTCAGCAAAAAAGGGTCGTCTTGATTTACACGCTCTTTACTGATACTGCCCTGTTTTTCAGGCACGCATTGGAAATTAACCCCACCTCCAGAAATGAAAGGCAGCGGCCCAGCCCCATACCCCGAGTAGAGGAAAACGGATGAAGAAACTCCGCAAGACGTATTCCCCCAGTGTACGTATGTGGCCCCATCTCCATGTTTCAGTTCCGACTCTGGAGAGAAAAATAAATATATAAATTATTTATTCAAATCGAGTTTTCAAATTTATATTTATGTTATGGCTTTTTTTTTTGTAATTATAAATATTCTCTCATTGGATGGTTTATAAATAACATAGTTATATTCCAAACTAAAGTTATACTAAAGAGTATACAATAATCACTCAAATAGCTTAAGTAGTTCATGAATAAAAGGTAACCTGAAATATCAGGCAGGCGGTAACACTTCCTATGTTGAGCTGGCTCAGACTGTTCATCGAAATGGCATTTTAAATATCTCTTCAATTGGTGATCAGAAGTTTACAATGCTATACAGTGTTTCCTTTTATAGCAATATATATGTAATGACTAAGTCACAAGTTCTGGAAATGTCTGTAAATATCATAGCATTTCTTGTTCTTCTTGCTTGGTGTTAAACAATTTCATTGAGGTGACATAGTTTCAAACGGAGTATCCACTTTTATGAGCATTATTAACAACTAGTAGTAATTTTAAAAAATCATAATTCTAGTGTAAACTATGTTATCATCACCCCTTGAAGTTATCTTTCTTGCAGAAATTTTGAGTTCCTTTGAAAAGCTTAAATATAGGTTGAAACAGGAACTACAGCCAATATTAGATAAACAATAAATATTACATTTGGAACCTAATTGTAGCTAGAACTTGGTTATAAATACAGCCTTCCTATATCTATTCAAACACTACATTAAAAACAAGCAAACAAGTAGAGAAAAAAGATAGTAGAGATATCATTTGCATCATCCCTAAATAACAGCACAGGCAAGAATTAACATATAGCAATATACGTAGCTATTCACTTAGAATTCACTTTTTTAGATGATGTACTGTATAAAAAGGGGTAAAAAAACTCTTACTAGAAGAAAAACAATTTCAAATTAAAAATACATTAATTAATAATTTCTAGCAAACTATAATCCACTTTCAATTTTTTTTATTTTTTTTTGAGTTGCTGGTTATTCTAGGATTATTTTTGAAAACAAGTGGCTCTTTTTTTCTTAAGCAAACACTTAAAAAAGACTAAAATATAACTTAAAACTATACTCACGAGACGGTTTTCTATCCTGAAATGAAGAACAGACAATTAATATTACAAAATGCTGACAGTGGAGTATCTAAAATATATGACACCATTGTACCATGAAGAAAACGACCATAAACTTCAGAACAGTGTAGTTATTTTGTTTGTTCGTACAACTTCTTCAGGAATAACTGGTTGGCTCACAGTGACAGAAACAATGAGTCAAAAAAAAAAACGTGTTCTAGAGTTCATGTTCGTTTCATTCAAAGCAAATAATTTGAAGAACATACAACATATGAATTGTTGATATTTTTAAGAAACATTTAATAATACCTATTTATCATTAACTTGTTGAATGAACTAATTATATATTATAATTAAAAAATTAAAGTGTTATGCTAAGCTATTTTTGAAAATTCAATTCAATTCAAAACTTCCGATAGCCCTAGTAATTAATAACTGCCATCGATTAAAAATGCACACAATTACAAAATAAGGCGTATCTGTTTTCATTAAATATTCATTAATAATATTCTTCAGAGATAGAATCATTATTGAAATACACTACAAGAAATGAGAAATGCAAATAAAATTAATGGTGACACTTACAAGCTTATTCTTGAGAGAAGAAAACTTGCGAATATACTTGTGTGGAAGATTGTCTTCTCCTGTTCCATACGTTTTGAAAGCATCATCGAACTGGCTTAGATTGCCTTTATTGGAAACATCCATATCTTCGATGGCATTTATAATCGCTTCTCGTGCTGCTGTCACGTCTTCATAAAGTTCTGACACCTGTAAAAAAAGGAAATTCGGATGTTTCATTTAGTGTATTTTCACTAATTTTGGCAACACAAAAACCTGAAATGAACCTCATAATTAGAATACTTTCACGGTTTTATAAAATTCTGATACGTGTAAAAATGCCATATTAGGATGTTTCATTTAACGTGCTTTTGTATATTTCATAATTCTGGCACCATAAAAACCTGAAACCTCTTAATGAGAATAATTTTAGGGTTTCATAAAATTTTTATTCCTGTAAAATCACCATATTTGGAGGTTTCATTTAACACGTTTGCATATTTAATTTTTTTTTCTTCAGATTTTGGAAACATAAGAGCCTTTAACGAACCCAAAGATTAGATTCAGCCAATTTCAACAAATTTTCTTTGTTGTAGCAACTGTTAATTACTTTGAACTTATAAAAGTACATCTATGTAAATGGGAAACAGTACAGAAAGATCTAAAAATAAAATTGGTTCATAATTCCGTAACATATTTTACTCTGTTTTCTCACTTTCAATGTACTCCGTTTTTGTATATCTCGCTGAAAGTTTGGTGTATAGTAAATATAAAGATATCGATACAGCTTAGTGGAAGCTTATAACCCAGAATATTATAACTGACTATAAGATATACAAATATGTCGATGCTGCTTAATTGAAGCTTATAATCCCCAATGTTATAGCTGACTATATATGCAGGATATACAAAGATATCGACACAGTTTCGTTGAAGTTTATGATCCTCAGTATTATAACTGATTACAATAAGTGTAAAAATATTGACTACTACATAATGAAAAATTACGTTCTTAGTATTGTTGCAAGCAAAGTTTTCAATGTTTAAATTTAGATGTTAGATAGAGGGCACATGAGGTTAAGATCTAGTAACTTAGACTAGTATCTAGAAACAAGGATACATTATAAATACGAAAACTAATGAAGCATTGAATTAAGTTCGTTCAGTGACAGTGAAAATTATGTATTTAATGAGACGTAACTGAGTATTAAGTGAGAGTTATCGTGTTCGTTCTGTTATTCACTTTATTTGATAAGTTACATGTTTGTTTATCTAACAAAGGTAGTTAACTTAGGCTTACGTCTTGCTGTTTATACTGAAATGTTGTATTTAATATTAGGCCTACATTTAGTTGTGGAGTTAATGTTGAAACACTATTTGTGCACTTAGATTTAATACTTGTGTCAAGTATACATAGCCTCTTGTAACATTATAAAATATATAAATTAATTTGTTATTGTTACACATTCTTATCACAAAGAAAATGTAAAAGAACTCGTCAAACGATAGAAATGATAGAACACATCATAACACTGATGTAAGATTATTTAGGTGAAAACAAAATATAACTTGACCCAATTCCGACATGACAACCTGATTCTCAAAACTTTGCGAGAAATGATGAAATAGTTAAAAGAAGGCCAAGAAGAGGGAAATAAAAAGACCAAGAAAACAGAAACAGAAGATTCAAAGAGTATCAAAAAAGAAAGAAACCAGAAAATAAAAAAGATAAAAACAAATTTATAGAAAATTAAAAGATCAAGAAGAAAGAGACAAAAAATTAGAAGAACAGGAATAATAATTAAAGAATAATAAGGAACAAAAATAAGAAACAAGATTTACAAAGCTATTCGGAAAATACAAAGTGATTACAACAACCTGTTTGAAGAAGTGCAGAGGGACATCAAAGATGTTCAAGGAGGCTGTAATGACAAAAACTGCAGTAGAGAAAGACATAAAAGAAGTATAGAAAGACTTTTATGACAAATTTGATGAAGTACAAAAAGAAGTCAATGGCAGAATAAAACATTTATAAAAAAAATAATTTATAAATGCAAAGCACAAATCAACCACATCTCTTTCTGCATCAGGTCAAAAGCTACAACACTATAAAATTTACTATAAAATATGGAATAGGAACACTTATTTGATCTAAACCTATTACCACTACTGCTGTGATTTCTACTGCAGGATTTTCCTGAACTACTCCAGTCATGTCACATTTAAATCTAGTTTCAGAATTTAGCTAACCAATTCAACAACACTGTCTAATTTAGAAACTAAAATACTTTGATAGAAAGTCATCATAGAAAACATATCAGGCTCAATTCGAAAAAAATGTCCAAAGTGACCAGATGGAACAGTGAACAAGCTATTCATCTTGCTGCCCATTTAAAAGGATTAGTTTTAACAACATTAAGTACCCTTCCAGCTGAAAGCCATAACAACTATCAAGCATTGGTAGCTACCTTATTCAATAGGTTTGGAGTGACACACCTGAAAGAAATATAAAGAGCAAAATTTCAGAATAGCGTACAGAAGAAAGGAGAGACCTTAGCCATACTTTCAGAAGATTGGAAAGGCTTGCCCAATTATCTTACTCAGGTGATCCTCATGAAATAATGTATTCATTATCATATGACCAATTTATGGATGCCATAACAGACGAGAACAGAAGAATTAGGTTGAAGCAAAGTAGAAGTGCATCTTTAAATGAAGTTTTCTAGTTGGCAATGAAATTCGAATCCATTAAAGTCACAGGTAAACAACTACAGACACCATCTAGCATTTAAGAAATCTTCAGGCTGAGCAGTATTGAAACAGCAATTCCATCTGACAACAGATTAAAAGAACTAAACATAACAGCAAATGTACAACGTTTCGACAAGGTTTTGTCATCACCTGATGATGACAAAACTTTGTCGAAACATTGTACATTTGCTGTTATGTTAAGCTTATATTAAAGTTTTTCTTCATTGCCCATTCAAGCCGTCTCCAAGCATTATTTCTAGACAACCAGTTACGATAAGAGACCATCCCTTATGCATATACCCTGAGGCGTGGAAGAAAACATTACCAAAGAGACTTAATGGCTAGACATTTTAGTGTAGTGGTTTATTTGTTATTAGGATTGTTTAAGGGACTTCACAACCCAATAAATGAGCAGTGTTGTAACCTTTCAATTTTTTAATGTAGGTGTCTGATAGAGGGCGCATAAAGTTAAGATTTAGTACATTCGACTAATATTTAGAAGCAATGATACACTATAAGTACGAAAATGAATGAAGCATTGAGTTCAATTCGTTCAGTGATAGTCAAAATGGAATATTTAATGAGAAGTTTTTGAGTATTAAGTGAGAGTTATTGCGTTTGTTCTGATATTCATTTACTTGATGAGTTATGTATTTGTTTATCTAACAAAGCTAGATAATTCAGACGTGCGTCTCGCAGTTTTTATTAAAACATTGTATTTAAACTTAGAACTACATATAGTTGTAGCGTTATTGTCGAAACTTTGTTTGTGCACTTAGACTTACTACTTTCGTCAAGTTTTTGGTTTGTTTTGAATCTCGTGCAAAGCTACACGAGGGCTATCTGCGGTAGCCGTCCCTAATTTAGCAGTGTAAGACTAAAGGGAAGGCAGGTAGTCATCACCACCCACCGCCAACTCTTCGGCTACTCTTTTACCAACGAATAGTGGGATTGACCGTCACATTATAACGCCCTCACGGCTGAAAGGGCGAGCATGTTTGGTGGGACGGGAATTCGAACCCGCGACCCTCATATTGCGAGTCGAGCGCCATACCCACCTGGCCATGCCGGGCCACTTTCGTCAAGAACGTAGGCTAAAGAGAAGTTATGAGAATAATGTATTGTCGTTACGTTCACTGGAACTCATATTGTTTTCATCAGATAATCTAAAATAACCCATCGAACGATAAAAATTATAGAACGCGTTATAACAGTGTTACAGCTGACTATAGTAAATATAAATATATCAACACCACTTATAATGCACGGTATTATAGCTGACTACAGAGTCCACAAAGAAATCGTCACTGTTTAATTAACGGTAGCTTATATTTCACAAAACTAATACTGACTCCAGTAAACAGTGCACACAAAGACGTCTACCAGCACCTAACGACATACCAACTTACATACGCAACTCACTTGCTACAATTTGTCAAATAAAGGTTCATGACAAAAGAAGAACCGTTTAAGACTGGCAATTTTTATGTAATTTCTAGTTTCGAAATGATTAGTCTTGTATAATTACGTAAAACTATTTCGCTCACAATTATCTGTTGTTTTTCTACTGACATTTGATTATACATTTTGTTACATGTAACGTGTTGATGCTTTGGTTTATCTGTTAAGAGTTCGTTTTAAAAAAATACTCAATAATCAGTTAAAATCGTATTCATCGTATCAAACATAAAATATAAACTTTAAAGCTATTTTTAAAACTTATAAATTTATATTTTCTAGAAGGTTGGAGCAATGTAATCGGGTCACACATAGCATCTCTATACTGAGAGTATCATTACTGTAATATCCTACCTCTTCCCACTGTTCGTCTGATAATTCTAGATCAGTCGATAAAAACTTCTGAAATTCTGAATTGGTTACTCTGATATCATCAAACTTGGTCTCAAGCTCATCCAGAAGAGCATTAAAAGCCCTGTAGAGTACAACCAGCGTTACTGCTAAATTACATTCAGTAGGAAACAAGTCAGTATTATTAATAATACAGATTACTACAAAGATAAGGACAAGTAAGTCTTACTGTAATACTACACAAATATAAAGACAAATCAGTCTTACTGTAATACTACACAAATATAAGGACAAATCAGTCTTACTGTATGCAATACTACACAAAGATAATGGCAAGTCACTCCTACTGTAGTATTCCACAAAGATAAATACAAGTCAGTCTTACTGTAATACTACACAAAGATAAGGAAAATCAGTTATACTGTAATATGACCTGACCCGTACGAAGGATTTTGAAAAGGGGGTGCGACTTTTCAGAGAAGGATCCATTATTTACTCTAACTCCGGGATCCCATACCTTCAATATAGGAACGAAAAGTATGCTTATTAAGGTAATTACAAAAACAAAAATATGTGGCGAAAATGGTGTTCCCCCTGATAGTAACTGGACAAGAAGATCCACTGACAGATATCATAGAAAATATATAATAATTTGAACGTTTTTACAAATTTGTTTAATATTTGTATATTATTGGTCATTCTCACGAGGTCGCTACAAGTTACTGATTTTTGTATAAGCATTGTAAACAAATCGTCGCTACCAGTGAAATTACATCGCTTTTCCATTAATTATGTTTATTGATATCAGTAAATACATTTTAATCGTTTTGCCCCGAATTAAGTCATACCACTTTAAAAAGTATTCTGGTGATCCACATTATGAGTACCAATATATTCTGAATTTTTTTCCCTATTTTCAAATTATTAATCAAGGGGTTTCTTTTATTGATTTACTATCTGGGACCCCTTCTTGTCCATTTATAGCAAAGGGCCCACATTTCCATTTACTATCAAGGGGTCACTTTGCAGATTTAATATAATAGGGCACGGAGGATCTCTCCTTGCCAAAAAAAACAAACGAACACGCACGAACCTCATTGTGATTACGTCACTGGTATTATTCATTTTTATCCTTTAAAAGTGTTTACTGTTATTTTTCTGCTTTAACTAAGAGTACTTGGATTCTGTCACTCAGTGTATAGGGACCCTTCCAATGACATATTGAGGCCCTTACCTATCTGTCATTAAAGGTACCCTTGACTATCATTAAAGGTACCGACCCTAACTGTTATTGATATATTTTAGTTCATTTTTACCTCCAAATTGTACTGTGGAAGGAGCTTGTTCTTCAATAATATTATGTAGTTTCTACTAAATCAAATTTTGCTGTTGGGATAATTTATATTAGATAAAAGTTAAATGGTTTTTCATCTATTCGTGAAAATGTGAACACCGAATATTCCTTCATTGGAAAAATGGGGGTATGATTGCACCCAACACATCCCCCCCCTCCCTTTGACAGTCCTGATGAAGTAAAGATGAAACAACTCAATTTTCTGTAATACTAAAGTCGATAGGTACCAAGTCAGTCTTACTGTAATATTACACAAAGAAGCGACACCTCAGTCTTACTGTAATATTACACAAAGAAGAGATACATCAGTCTTACTGTAAAATTAAAGTCAGTAGGCAACAAGTTAGTGTTAATGTAATATTAATAAGGACTGTGATATTACACAATGAAAATGAAACATCGGTTTTACTGTAATATAACACATGGAAGAAGAAAAATCGGTCTTACTTGAGTATTACAAAATGAAGATGACATGTCACTATTACCGTAATCTTACACAAGGCAGATGACAAGTCAGTCTTACTGTGATATTTCAGTTAGTAGTAAACATATTAACGTTACTGTATTAATAAAGTCAGTATGTAACAAGTTAGTCTTACTGTAATGTGAGTAGTGAAAAATTAGTCAGTAGGGAACAAGTAAGTCTTATTTGTTATTATAATAGAACTGTATTGTACGGCTTAGTCGTGTTATTGTTCATTTTAATAGCAATACGATGAAAAATTGATAAATTATAAGCTAGAAACAAATTAAAAATATATTTTATTGTTTGAAAAAACACGCGCTAGATGAGAAATTCAGTCACAAATGGGAGCATCTGCGCTGTATCATTAAGTTATAATTCAAAATGTTTACAGCAAAACAAACTTACATATTCTTTCGATAACTTTCTTTGTTCGTGTTCTCCAAAGCAGCAACAGGAAAAAGTTCCACACGTAGCGGATTACCCCAACCATTGTTCACCTTTTTTACATCCTCCGGGTATTGTTTTACCATTTCCATCGCCTCCTTTATTGTTGTTATTGGTGAAGTTACCGGAATTGTAGCAGAAGTATCGATTTCTATAAAACACTCCTCTTTCAGGTCATCACTTAATTTTTCGAAGGAACCTGAGGATAGAGAGCAAGTTCTATTTACTGTGCTGTATGAGAAAATAGTCATCAACCATAACAAAGAAGAGGACTACATTATAAGACTAAATAAATCTCTTACAAACATGATTCACGAAGAGAGTGTGTTTTATATATTTACTTTAAGTCAGGATTAAAGTTTTTGTGTTTGTTTTGTTTTCACTAGATCACCAAGACTATTTATTTTCAGTTTCGAACTAACAGATTTAGAAGTGGATCCTTCTTCAACATAGAAATTGTTTTCAGGCTTAGAAAGGCGAGGCGGATACATATAATTGAAGAAACATTATTCATTTTTTATCTTACTTTACTGGAACATTAAAAGTTACAAAACTAGACTCTTAGATTATTAATGGTGTATCACTATTAGACAAATCTGTTGATTGTTTGTTTGTTTTGTTTGTCGCGCAAAGCTACACGAGGGTTATATGCGCTAGCCGTCCCT